TGAAGCTGAAATGTGTATTTAGTCAGGCAGAAAGGTAAGATGTCCAGTTCTTTTAAAGTATGCAGGGGTTTTGATATACTTCTTCATATTAACATTTTCTTGTGGCATTAAAGTAGCATCTTTATCCTAATTGAAAGGTAATTTGTAAAAAATGTTTGGAATAAGCAATATCATCTTATAAATTATTTTTTCTTGGGACATGTTTTTTTTAATCTACAGGATGTATCATAATTGTACAGTATGCTTTGTTTATATTCATCTATGCAGTCATTTATATCAGGGCAAATTTGTTATAAAACTATACTGTGCAGATAAATATATTGCAGTATGTATTTGCTGGTAGGTTACAAAAACAATACATAAGTTTCATTCTTGCTTAGTCGAGCCTGATTTTGCGGTTATGTGGTTTGGCACATTCAGACTGTTCAGCAATTTTTTGTTGATTTTTGGAACAATATAATTTTGGTCACTTACTGATTTAGTAATTTATTGATTTTTATAGTTGTATAACAGTGAAAGTGCGACAAAGTTTACAGTCCTGATATTAAAACAAAGGTACGTTAAACCTTGTGCATGTAACCACAAGGCAAATTACAAAGATTACACAATATTTTTACTCATCCGGGTCATAACAAAATGTTGGATAAATTCATTTACAGCTGGATTTCTTTTCTTTCAAGATGTTTTGTCACTTTTATCAGCTGATGGGAAAATACCCGACATAACACCATGCAACGTCATGCAGATGTGGGAGTTGCTTTAGTGATGACACATTTGAGTATGATGTTAAAACGGTCTCATGGATGTACTGAACAGTCATCCATATAGAATATCAACCAAAACTTGAAAATGAAATCTTAGACTGCATCCTTTAATGAGCATCTATTTTTATTTGTACTCCACCCTCCTTCCTCAAATTTGCACAGGCAACAATTTCATTAAATCACTATTGTGTGATGTAATATTTGCTCACATGGTTTGAAATAAGACTTGTTTGTATTGCCGCATGACAGAGAAATCATACTTGGTGACTCGGAGATACATTTAGCTAATATTTATGTAGAAAACATGAGACTAGAAACTGGCACACAAGGTTTTTTAGGTGCAACGTGATAAAAATGGCAACAGCAAACAGTATAAAAAACACACACTAATACTTTCAAATATGTAACATAATTATCCACATTACAGTCTATTAATTCAAGATGTGGATGCCAGAAGCATACTCTATGTGCTCACAAACATTTCAAACCCAGAGTCCATTCATGCATTCTGCACTCATTTGCCAAACACGCTTCCTGATGGAGGCTTAGTTTTCTCAAGCACTGTCTCGCTTCCAGATCGTACTCCACTGAAAACAGACGGCGCCACCTTCCCCATGCGCTCTACACAACAGACAAAAACACAACAGATTGATTTCAGGGTTTCTGCACGACTCAAAAAGTCTTAATTCACCCCTCCACAAATTAGGGCCTTGAAAAAGTATACCTAAATCAAGAACAAATATCTGTTAGTGGGGTATGAAAACTTTGAATTAACTGTATTTTTCTGAACCAAATGGCATATATTTGGTCTTGTTTGAATCCCAAACTCACTTCATTTTGATCAGTTTCTCAGAAAACAGTTTCTTGTGTTATTTTGCTTTTCAGTGTATCTTTGCCTTGAGAATCTTTAGACATTTTGCACTGGAAAGATCCTGAGAAGAAACATCACTTCTTGCAGGGTAATCAGAAGGTACAGTAAAAGTTATTTCAGTATTCTATTTTATTTATGGAGATCTGTTAGAAATAGTATTTTCAAACTTTCAAGTGTTGCTAATACAATTCATTATCAGCTAATATTATCTGCTCTTTAGTTACATTTACAGAACATATTGATGTATTATATTCCCTTTTATTGCTTACATTTTCTTTACTTGGTCTTAAAAAGGTCTTTAAAAGTTTTACATTTACAACAAAAAAAAACTACAGAAACCTAGATAATTCATTACATACAATACAATTATATAGTATACAAAAACTGTAAGTTATTATTATTATTATATTCTACAATAATACAATGCAATTTTACAACAATATACCATAGCAACTTTCTGAAATCTTGACATGGAAAAATTGTAAAATCATTTTTTATACATTGTTTTTAAAAAGACAGTCTCTGTTCTAATCTAAACTATAATAGCTTATCTGTCTCTGATTTACGTTCCAAACATGGCAAACTTACCACACTCAACCATGACCTCGTATGTTTTGCTCTTGACCTCTCCCTTTAGCCCCAGTTTACTGCGGGCTCCTTTCAGGTCCTCCTCCTTCACAACTGGCCTCTTCTTCTTCTTAACCTCTGGCTGATGGAAATATCATTTCAAAAGAGAAATGCCTACAGTAGTTTGCACTTAAATCATTACACATACTTTTTTATTTCTAATCTGTGCATTGAATCGATATATTTTCATACCTGAGACATTCTGTATGTTTGCAGTCTGGTCTCTGAACAAGTTGGTGCGTTGCGTACTTTGTCGTCTTTTCACCCTGGCTCTTTTATACCCTTGTTACCAGCTCAGTGTAACCCGCCCCCTCGCCCCTCTCTCTTCTCATTATATATTATTAGCTCTGCAGTCAGTGTCAGAAAGCCTCTTTCTGAACATGACTACTATGAACAGCTGAACACATTACAGTCAAAACACCCTCACATCCCTCCTCACGGATCAGTGACGGGTAGATTAAAGAATACGTTTTGTTGCTACAGGCCAAAATTGTGAAAAACATACAGTTTTTGACATATCTGATACTCTCAACCTTATCTATTAATCTAAGCCAGATTTGTTTTACAGCAATAACTGATATAATTCACCATAAAGCTGAATAATAAATTGATTTTTTTTTTTTAAAACACCTTCTTAGTTGTGACAAATGTGTGTAATGATGGAGATGTTAACATGCCACACAGATTATATAACCCAATCACTACACACTCTTCTGGGATGGTGAGTCAGCCTTTGTGAATGAGCAGGGACCATCTCATGTGTGCACCAATAAAAATAGATATTCAGATACCGTTTTCATGTCAGTCATTGTGACTGTTCAAACATTTGGGGCTGGTAAGATTTTTAATGATATTAAAAAAGAAGTCTCTTATGCTCACCAAGGCTGCATTTATTTGATAAAAAATACAATAAAAACTGCAATGTTGTAAAACCAACCTACTGATCTGCTACTTAAAGTCAGTGTAAAGGCAATTCAGAGAATTGTTAGAAATGTTAGAAATGTATTGCTGAAAGCACGTTACAAAGACTTAGAACTATGTAGTACTGAATTGTAGAGTTAGACCGTTAAAGGTTTTTTCACTATTTGTGTGTTCAGGATTTTTTGGGCGGGGCTGAAATCATGTCTCGATGACACACTGAGCATGGCCCCTCCCCTAACATTATAATAGGTGCGTTCGACTTGAAGCACGGCTACAGACGGCGATCAACGAGAGTAGCCGCTTGCAGTCAGGGGCGGAGTTGAAAACGGAGCCGTTAAACCGGACATTTCTGCTCCCGTTAGTGACGCTCACGCGGTGTTTGCATACTCTATCACAGATGAAGTGAATTAAATGCAATATTTGTCAAATACACAGACGTTTCAGAAACGTTTTCATGAGCAACAGAAACACTTTTTATATACTGCTTATTATTGGGTGTTCAAAAAGAGTGTTTTGATTGGTGGATTAAAAGCTCATCGTGATTGGCTGAACGGAACATCCTCCAAAAAAAGATATTTATGAATCTTAACCTGCCAGGAAGGTCTCAAAAATACCGCACACAAATTCAAAGCAGTCCACGCATGTGTGATGATTTGCAAATGCAGATTCAACGATCCATAAATACATGTAACATCATTCATAAATGTGTGATGGAAATTAATTCAAGAACTTGATATATACATATTTGTGTAAACATTTTAAATTTATTTAGGTAAGATGCTTTTGTGTGAGCATTTGGGGAAATATTTATGCTTTTACTTCTGTATTTATGAATTGTGTTTTGAATTTACGAATCGGATTTTGTAAATATAAATTGTGCTGTGCATTTATGAATTTTGTTTTATAAATGTATTATTTTTGAGGCCGATCTGGCTCCATACATAACATTTCCGTCACACGCTTGAAGTATTCAGCCAATCATAACGCACTGGATAGCTGGCCAATCACAGCACACCTTGCTTTTCAGACCGATGAGCTTTGTAAAAATCGACGCGTTTCAGAAAGGCGGGGCATAGAGGAGAAACAATAATGTACAGTATGTGGAAAATAATTTGTTTTTTTTAACCTTAAACCGCATAAACACATTTCATTACAACAAATACACAAAATAATGTTCTTTTTAGCAACATCATATGACCCCTTTAAAGATACACACACAAAAACGTCTTATTTCATTCCACCTTAAAAGGGGCGATTACGGCAAAAGGAACAAAATATTGATGAGTCATCCAGCACTACACGTGTTTTCGTCCAATCAGATGCTCTCTAAAATGAGAATGTCCCTCCCACTAAATGATTTCTCTTCTCTTATCTAACCATGGTTCGTCGGTGTGTGTTTGGCTGTTCTAACGCTCGTACATTATTTTGTTTCCCAGCCACAAACTGGTTACGAAAAAAGTAGTTGGAGTTTATACACTTCGAAGAGGGGGCTATTTGCGCCAGCTCGCGGCTTTGTGACAGGCATTTCTCTGACGAATCCTTCACCAATTTGGGGATGGTTACTGCGGGGATAACGTGCCACCTTGCATTAGCAGACACGGCTGTCCCAACTCTGTACACTGTAGGCGCTTCCTCTCCCACACGAGTAAGTATTGTTTTCGTCAGAAGCTTCTGGGGCATTACATTAAAACCTTTCATCAAAATGTAACCACTAAACTCTCCGCCTCGGAAACAACCTTTCTTATATGCTCTGCTAAGTGACGTAACGTTAGCGGCGTCATGACGCAGGAATCATTTGAACCGGATCTTTCGAACCGATTATTTGAAACGAACAGGTAAAAAGAACCCGTTCGCGCCACGGAAAAGAGTCGGATTGCCAAACACTGAACGAGCATAGCAAGCGACAGATATGGTGAAAAGGTGCGTTTTGGGCTGTTATCCGCACAAAGCCTTGTTCCCTTTTCCCAAGCTACCGTGGTTGCGAGCCCGCTGGCTCGAATTTTTGCATTTTGAGGAAGGAGGAATATCGGAGGGCTCGCGTTTGTGTGCGAAGCATTTTGCCCGAGAATGCTTCACAAATTTACAGCAGTATGAAATGGGCTTCGCTGACTTAATTAGTTTGATAGACATGGCTGTCCCGACAATATACACCGTTGGTCCGGCACCGAGTGTGAAGGTAAGTAGTTAGTTGCGCCTGCCAGGTTAACATAACAGTTTATTCTATCGAAGAACCGCCCATTTTGACCGGACGTGGCAGCCCGACTGACACGTAGAACCACCAACCACGTTAGTTTTATGCATTTAAAGGGACAGTTCACCGCAAAAATATAAATTCTGTCATTATTTACTCACTCCATAACGTTCCAAGCATGTATGGCTTTTTCTTCAGTAGAACACAATAGAAGATTGTTTGAATAATGTTTGTACCAAACATCAAAACCAGTTTTGGTTACCATTGATTTCTATTTCATTGGCAAAAACACACACATTTCTCAAAATATTTTCTACTATGCTTCATAGAAGAAACAAAATGTACTACAATAACAGACAAAAATACAATATGTTTTTTTTTTTTCTAACAACAGAAGAGCTATAGAAATAATATTTACATTGCTTTATTTCTGTACTGCTTTCCAACAGCCAATGACACGAGAGGTAGGCTGCCAATGTAATGCTCCGGTTCTGAAGAGTGTGGCGGTCCAAGCAGTACGCACACAAAAAAAGCCAAAACGGAGAAGTAAAGGTAGCATTTTTAGCTAAAAGTTTACTTGTCAGTTAACGGCTTTGTTTTGTTTCACCGGTTTGATTTTCATTTTTGTGTGGTTTAATAACAGCCATTCAAGTGAGACCTCTTGTGAGTCATTGTGTGTCCTGCTCCGATGAGGATTTTCCCGTCAAATCTGAATCTTCATCTTCATTTACATTAACACCAATTAAAAGGCCACGCATGGAGGATTCCTCAGAGGGGTCACCATACAGCTCAGAAGAACCAACAGATGACACCCACATGCCTAATATAATTAAAGAAGATGACATAAAGTAAGTCTGTCCATGTTTCATTTGGGGTGTTGATCTGTAAACTCACAACCAGCTATATGTTGGTATCGAACACCCACTTTTCATGATTAAGTTAAATCAAGAATATGACTAAAGTTCACAACAAGAACTATAACAGTAACTATATTAGTGTCCACAGCAATGCACAGTACTGTTCTGTTTATTATAAGAGCGTACAGAAATTATGTTGTATGCCACTTTAAATGTTCAAGCTCTTTAAACTCTTGGATGGTGGATTCTGATATTCTGTTTTACATTATTTTACATTTATTCGGGTTCAGTTTGTCAGCTGGAAATATTCTGAGTAAATGTTGATATATAACTCTCTTGTGGTTAAGATTCACCCCTCTCAGTGACACATTGCGCTCAATTTCTGGTCAGGAAGCATTCTTTTGCAAGTGATAAAATATTTATTTATTTATATAGACTTAACAAAATTATAAATGCAACACTTTAGCTGTGTTAGATAAGTTACAGATCATAAAATAACACACAACTATTTTTACACTGTTTATTGAAAAAGCATACACCAGTTCATAATTTGTCAGTAAATCTTAATCATCTAATATTGTTTATTACTTAACATCCCTCTCCACATTCAATTGGTTTCATTCTCCACCAACTGTAACCAAGATTGATCTGTAAAAATAGTCAGAATCAAACCCGGAGAGGGAAAGGCAGTTATATTTCCACCTAGACAAAATCCTTATCAGTAACCTTGTTGAATCCAGCAGGCCTGACCAGAAAGCCTGGTTTCAATTCATCCCTGTAAAACACAAACGCATACCATGTGCAAATATAGTACTCCCACAAACTTGGTCCATTAAATATCAGGTCGACAATACTAGCAGTAAGACAACTGATCCTGTACCCCAATTACATTCACTCCAACTCTAAACCTACAGGCATCTTCCTCTTCACATTACATCCATCTTCAGAATAAAGATTACAAAGAATAATCTGACATATGCAGTCTCAAATTACGATTTTTGCAGAGAATGCATGGTGCAAATGCATCATTCTCCAAGGATCTGTGCTTTTGGTGTTGAAATAAAATCGAATGCTCCATAAAGCACAAAAGTGTGAGGGTGGACGAGAAAGCATTTGGAAGAAAGGCCTGCTGGTTTAGTGTTTAGAGTTTGACAGTGTCTGAGTGGTAAATATTTTATAGAGGCAAAAGGATAATGCTTTAAAACATAGAAAACTTGAAGGTAATACCGCATACAAAGATACCGCAACGTAACATCAAACTGTGCAAGAGGTCACAGAAGCATCCGCACCAAAGCATCTACCCTGCAATGAGTAGCAAAACTGAAACAAAAAGTTTAAAGACCGTTCACCCAAATATGAAAAGCGTTATCTACTCCCAATCATGTTGTTCAAAAACTGTATGACTTGTTCTACTGTGAAACACAAAAAAATATTTTGTCTTTGTCAGTGGGGTCCAATGTTTTTTTGGACCGCTATGTTCTTCATAATGTACAGAAGAATGAAAATCATACAGGTTTGGAAAAACATGAGGTCAAGTAAATGACTGAATTTTCATTTTTGGGTGAACTGTCCTTTTAAGAGGCCACACAAACAACAATTAAAACAACAAATAAATACAGGGAAAAATTAGTGTTAGGACACAGCGACACTGAATTGAGGCAGATACACGTTGACAAGCCAAACAGTAAGGCAAACCCATCCCAGTCAGGGGTCTGAAACAGCCATCCCTGGATTTACGTACCATCTCAAATCGTCTGCTGCCGAATGGTTAAAAACAACACATTGCAAGCAGACTGTACCAACTGTATTATAGTGCTGGCTCATAACACTGCTGACCAATGTTATTCTATAACATTTATTAGCACAGTTTCCTCACAGCTGACACGCACAAAACTCTCTTGCCGCAGCTACACTCACAAACACACTTTGGAATCAACTTCGAGTGACCTTGAACGGTTTGCCCAAGTCAGTGTGATCAGTCACATGCATATGGTTAAAGGTACTTATTTCAGTTGAACAACAGTATGTTATTTGTAAGGTAGACACTTTTTAAAAGGCTTTGAATTGCTTTGTGCAGTTCAAAGGCTGGACAGATGCGAGGAGGAGATGTAGTTGTGTTGTATATCCACTGGAGAATCACATGTTCTTTAAGCATGACAAACGAGCCGCCGTACAGAATTATGAATGTGCACAAAAAACCTTGACAGACTGAAAATATTATGGTCTGATCATCTCCACGAAGCCAAAACCCTTTGACATAGGGTAGCAAAAAAACCTTTTAGTGATGTCCGGAGGCTTCTCTTGTGTTTGTCTACCGGAGCATGGGTCCTTTACCTCACAAATCATAGGCTGAGTTAGCCTTCATGCCCCTCACTTTCTGATCCATGTTCAGGTAAATGAGGTGGGGGTCATGAGAATGAGGGAGGCCTCAAGTCTAAATTGATTTGAATTCAAACTGGAATACCAAGACGGTGCTTCTTTTTTTTAACAGGCTTGAGCCCTGTGAGTCTTCGTACATCGTCGTCACGATCTGAATCCTCCATTTCATCATCTGCAGAGAACAGAATCTGACCAGCACAGAAGGAAGAGGGCAAAGAGAAAGACTGTGTTTAACTAATCTTTTTTGTTTTGTTTTAAACAAACAGGTGATACGGACACTCCTAAAAAGTGGAATACACCTCGCAAACTTAAATAAGTAGGTAACATTCTCCATTACATTCTGACTGAGCTGCTCATCCCATCCCTTTAGATGGACTATAATCACTTGACTAAACCATCTGACAGATGTCAACAAATTAATATTTGACACAGATATAGTGGTTGGATGGAAATGCTACACTCGAGATTACCGTTCTCTTTGTCAAGTTCCCTGCTCAAATGACTTGCCTGGTCTCAAATCTAGCACTGCTAACACAACCAAGCAGTAAGATGAAAGGAAATACATGTATTCAGGAGATGTTATTGGGTCAAACATCATCGAAATACAGAAATATTAGTAGCATGTTAGAAAACCACATACACTGTGTTATATTCATCCTTAAAAAAAAACTGTCTTCCACTGAAAATCAAATGTACCCAGAGTTCATTACTGGATGTTTTGTTAACTAGAACCATCTGTGCAGCCCTTTCTTAAAGACACACGTGCTTCTTGAGATTGTAAACTCTCTGTGACTTATCATGGTTACACATACTTCAGGTCTGAAGCATTGGGAAAGGAACGGTCATGCACATGTGCACAATGGTCATGCAGATGTACTAGGGGGAAAAAAAGAGGATGTCCCATCTAGGACTTGGGTAGAGGGATGATTTTGAATATAACACTGTAGGTCAAGGGAAAGCCCAAAATATGAATTCTGTCATGTTTAATGGATGTTTAAGGAGCAGCAAAAGTGTCTTGCCAAAGCAAGTCTACGTCTAGATTCAGATCTCCAATGTTTAGACTTTGTTGATTGTTTTGATAGTGTTTTATACATTCCATAAACTATTAAATGTTATGTCATCGGTTATGATTTTCTTTTATGGTTTAAACATAAAAATCATCTAATTTCCAATAAAAATGTTAACACAAACTATTATATAATTAATTAGGGGCCAAGCCCCTATTGTAGTTATTAGTTTTTCTTCTTCCCGAAAGGGAGTCTATGGCAGCCCTATAAAAGGAACATGAGAAAATGATGAAATGTGGCACAATTGTAGAGATGGTAATGAATAGCTATTTGACCAATTTTGAAGTCTCTAGGACCAACTCTATAGCGCCACCACTGGTTCAAAAATTCACTTTTCTAAAGCTTATCACTTTTGAACCCTTTGTTCTAGAAAAATGAAGCTTAGTTCATTTGATTACTCTCCTCATTCTGATCACATTCAATAGCTTTTTTTTGTATGCGTGTGTGCTCATTCTCACACTGAAAGCTCTCCTCAGCAGCCTGATGAATGTGCATCAACTGAGTGGCACATTCTGCTAAGCCTCAGGCCCTGAATCTTTCAGGTCGTGGGTTCAAATCCCATGTGGAACATTTTCAGACCCAAAGAGGTACTGTGGCATTATGCAGAAGTTGCTTATGTTGCAGGCATTTTGCCTTTCTAAGAATGATCTCATCTGATATCTAGATAGAGAGCAAATTAATGGATCGATAGATGCAGGCAGGTTGCGTAGCTAGCAGTTGCGTTGTAGTTCTTGTTCAATTAAACTTTTATTCAATTAACAGCCCTAGGAATAATCATTCTCCCTTTTTGCTGTTACATCAAATTGATTCAGTAAGAGTAACTTACTTCTGATTCAGAGTCATCATGCGACAGTGCCCGTCTATAGCGCACTTTGCTGCTGCCACGAGGATCGTCTTCTGCTTCCCTCTCCTCCAATTTGGCTTTTGTTCTGCCCTTCTTCATTATGAAGTTATCTACCACCCAGAACATCAGAGCCTGGATACACACACAAACAGGGGCAAACATTCAGACATAAACAGATGTGTTACAACAATAACAGAACCACCTGTCATACAGATTTATATAGAAGATTTAGAGCATGCAAGCCACATTTCCTCTACATAAGAAACAAGCAGTGAAAAAAATACATAGTTGTGTACAAATACATAGCAAAAATATATACAAATAACTACATTAAAAGTGCAAAATATAATGTAAGGAAGCAATTACACTATCATTCAAAAGTTTGAGGTCAGTAAGATATTTTTTTTTGAAAGTTATACTTTTATTCAGCAAGAATGCTTTAAATTGATCAAAAGTGATAGTAAATAAGATGTATGATGTTACAAAAGATTTCTATTTTAAACATTTTATCTCCATCAAAGGATCCTGAAAAAAAATTCTCAGTTTACACACAAAAAAAAAAAAAATCAGCACAACTGTTTTCAACATTAATAATAATGTTTCCTGATCAAATCTGCATATTAGAATGATTTCTGAAGGATCATGTTACACTGAAGACTGGAGTAATCTGAAAATTCATATCACATGAATAAATGACATTACATATTTTATTAAAACAGAAAACTGTTTATAACATTTGTGTAACATTTCACAATATTACTGTTTTTACTATATTTTGATCAAATAAATGCAGCCTCGATAAGCATAAGATACTTTTTTCAAAAACAAAAAATATATCATACTCCCCCTAAACTTTTGAATACAGAAAGGGTTGTCACTTACGTTCACAAAAAACGGGACAATTAGCATGACGATAGCTAACTCCAGATGAGGGTTTGTTATGGGGTTGAGCGTAGCCAGCTGTCCAACACACAAACACCAATCAAATACATCAATCCAAAACACTTAAAACTACCATAATTTAATGACAATTTTCATTTTTGGGTGGAACATGTTCTTAACTGCAAGTTAGTAAAGCAGTATTATAATGATACATGATAATAAATTTTCTCCAAACATGTCAGTAAGTTCATAACATGATCCACAAACCACAGTTCAACATCCTGACTGACTGACCTTCTTCCACTGTGGGAGGAGGAGGACCAACATGATCATGACCTTCTCAAACATCATGATGAGTATGTAGAGAGCACACTGACCCGCCCAGGCACTGCACTGAACCGGCTCACCTACATGCAAACATTAGAAATATGACACTTGAAAACAGTGGTTCTTAACCAGGGAGCCCCAGCAAACCTCCAAGAGGGCCCCAAGATGACTTTAAAATAAGACAAAAGCATTAAAACATCAAAAAAACAACTAAAAATCAAGATATCTTATTTTAATTCAACCCCTCAATAGTTTTTTTTATTTAAAGAACCAGGATTCCCATGGCCTTAAACTTGGATATATGAGGAAGCCTAGACCTGGAAAGTCATGTAAATGGATAAAACCGTAAATATCTTTTAAAATCCTTATTTGGTAAATCACAAAAAATAGAAAATCACAGGGCCTTTGAATATTGTTATGGGGGCCCTGGAGTGAAAAAGGTTAAGAATCACTGCTAGAAAACATACTTTCCTGTTCATCAATCATCATAAATGGTATCTTTCACTGCCTATGAGATCCCACAACCCTTTATGTGCAGTTCAGTAGTTGACCAAAACAAGAAACTGGTGTTAAAATTGGTTGGTTGAACTGGTTAAATTATTCTATTTATTATTTATTATATAATCTAAATTAATTCAACATCATTACATGACATTACAGTGCCTTGAAAGATGGTCTGACTAGTTTCATTGGAGGGAACCTTAATATAAAAACACTGTTAAATCATTGATTAGACTTGTTTGGTTTCGGACAGGCATTAGTCTGTGAAGAACAAGATTTCTATCATGATTTCAAATAAATTTAATTCAGTGAACACAAATCGAACAATGCTAAGGAATAAAAGGGCTGATTTAATTTCCCATTCACGAGTCTGAGGACTGCCCTCTTTATATGAGGCCACATTTACATAAACAAATTCCTCGTATGTGAAAACATACCTGGCAATAAAGCTCATTCTGATAAAGAAGCTCATTGGAAGTGTCTAGTCCTATCAATTGATGTTAAGGCTCATACCATACTCTCCAAAACGCAGCGAATCCCACTGTCTCCATTCAACCACAGCGTTAACAGCCTTCACGCCGCCATAGATCACCAGCATGCCCAGAGTCGCATCCAAAAGGAAGTTGATCAGGTATCTACGGAAAATGACACAGGGAGTTGGTCGCGGAGCAGAGCTGACAACAAATATGTAAAAACCACAGACACAGATGGGAAATACAACCATGTGTGGGGGAAACACTGATACAACGACACACACAGACTCACAGTGAACATGGGTCCTCCTCTGTGAGGTCAGACAGGTAGACATTGGCAAAGTGAATGAACAGCATCCCTATGGCCTGTTTGGAGGTGTCCAGAAACCTGAGAGAGGTGAAGGGGAGGAGGGGGCGGTGAGAGGGAGGAGACCTGGTTAGAACTCACCGTTAAGTCACAAGGGGAACGGGGCTACAGAGGACTGCTAGACAGATCTCAGGTCAGTGGAGTGCTGCACTGACCGTACATGTGTTTAAAGGGTTAGTTCACCCAAAAATGAAAATTCTGTCATTAATTACTCACCCTCATGTCGTTTCAAACCCGTAAGACCTTCGTTCATCTTCGGAACACAAATTAAGATATTTTTGATGGAATCTGAGAGCTGTCTGACCCAGCATAGACAGCAACGCAGCTGAAATGTTCCCAAGTCCAGAAACGTAGCAAGGAGCTCTGTAAAATAATTACATTAGTGGTTCTTCCGCAATTATACGAAGCTACGAGAAGACTTTATTCAACAATTCGTCTCCTCCGCATCACACTGGTGCCATTTTGGAGAGTATCCGCTGGACGTAAACAGCGTATGCTGTTCTGTGTCAGCTGCGTCACGCCGGATCGGTTTCCTACGTTGTTGTGATTTGATCTGAACGAAAACAGCGTATCCGTGTGACGCAGCTGACACAAAAACTTTTGCGCACAAAAAGTATTCTCGTAGCTT